GGAATCAAAGTGAAACTAAAATTGCGCCCTATCAAAATTGAGTTACTTTAAATAAAACTGAATAATATGTTCTTTCGCATCTTTTGGTTGTTGATATTAAAACAGAAACGTATTAAAAACTGCTTCGGTTTTACAAAAATCCAATGTCCAATATTCAGTGGTTCTTGGTTCTTAGTTAAAAGTATTAATGGGGCACGTACGTGACCGACGGACGGACAACGTCGCTATATATAGAGCCCTTGTAACGAGTTGTATTTCCTTAGCTCCTTCGCTTGAATCACTGCTGCAAAAGTTGGCGAACAAGTGATTTAATTTAGACTATTTATTAAATTTTAAGATTTAATTATTTACTAGTTGTCGTCAGCGACTCTGTCCGCGTGGAATTATAAAAAAACAAAAGTGAGTAGCCTATGTGTTCTTCCACACTATAATCTACATCTATGCCAAATTTCATCGAGATCCGTTCAGCCGTTTAGGCTACAAACTCTAACCAACATCCATCCATCCATCTAAATTTTCGCATTTACAATATTATTAAGAGTAAGATTAGTAAGATTTGAAGCTTCTACGTGGTTCTAGCACAACTATCAAAATTCCCTAAAGATACAACCATTTCATAGTTAATTCAATACATCGATAACTGGTTGAAATTAGTGTTTATTGAGGCAAAAAAAAAATTGGCCTCTTCTTTTTAGCAATTGCTGATGTGTCGTCACTATTTTGTCGTCAAAATTCATAATTTAAATAATACGTTACAAGCTTATTTTTTTTTATTAGGATCGATAATTCATATGAGTAATTGACTATCTATCTTTTTTACAATTATAAGAATTTATTGAAGTATCTAAAACTAGCGACTTAAAACATAAAATCAACAGCTCTCCAAACTCTACGACCGTATGTCATCGAGTCCTGTCTACAGTCGGCACGCGGCTTGCATACTACCGCGGCAATGTCTCGGCCATAGACCATTATCACTTCAAATGTAACCGCTACCCTGTTCTAAATTACATCTGCGATTGGAAGTTTATCATTTTGACGCTTTTAGAAAGCTTTGTTTTTGCAGTATTTATAATATAAATACCGTCAATTGACGCGTGATGTCATGAGGCCATTCGATCACTTCGATGGACTAGTAATAAAAGAAAGATTTTTTAATAATTTTAATAAACTACAAAATTTTCTATTACCCTACTATTAAATAATTGTCTTAATAAAAAGCATATAAATAAATATTGCTCATAGAATTTATACTTAATTTCTAATTCAACTAAATGTCACATTATTTCTTTCTCATTTAAAACTTTATAATCAAGATTTAACCATCGTAATTATAGACTTTAGACGTTTGACTTAAGGTTCTTTTTTATCTCTACAATTAAGTAGTACTTAGTAGAACGGGCTCATACCTTGTACTATCGCATAACTGTTATGCGGTTGTCATTTATTTCGCGGCCAATTCAACTGTTTAGTTGCTCAACTAAAATCGAGTAGTGCGCACCTCCATATAAGCTCGTAAGAATCAAAACGAGACTAAAAGTTCTGCGATAGTTTAGTCATACGTGTGTGCTTTTAGCGTTACATTGTAGTAGGATGCACGCGTATTACAGAAGTATCCGTTAATTTACCGTCTCTGAGAACATACGATTTGCATATACATGTTCAGCTACCAGCGGAAAGGAATTGTTTATAGTAAACAAGGGGTAGTATAAAATGTTTACTTTATGTATTAATTGTTTCCGGAAACTTCTTTATTAATTACACTTTTATTATAAGAAACAAACAAAACTAAGAAAAAAAAACGAAAAAAACAGTTAACCTCTAAGTAAATTCAAAGATAAATTCTTGTACTAAAAAATATATCCATCCAAATCCATCCATAAATAAAATAAATAAATGTATAATTTATTAACATTTTAATGTATACTATTATAATAAAGCGTAAACACACACTTCTTTGTTACCTAAGATGTCAGCAATTACAGCATATTTTTGAGTAATTATTTTTTTAATAATAAGCCCATTAAACTTAAGGGGTAAATATTTTGGATAAAAGCCCTAATGTGGGAAAGAGACCATAAGTTGCTGCCAACATCAAGGAAGCAAAATTGCCATACTTTGTCATCATGTAATGTCATTTTGACATTTGCAATTGAATTTGACAAATGTAATCAATAAAACAATTTTCATAATTTCTTGCGATTGAAGTCGCATGGGAACAGCTAGTTAATAAATAAAACAATCATCATTTCAAAATAAATAATAAATAAGTTAGCTTAAAATGTAAATGCTGTCAGCTTATAACAGCAAATATTTATGAATTATAACTAAAAACCACACTATTCGACAATAATCCAACGTGTGACATGCAACCATCTTCACCTGCTGGGTTATCGCTAAACGGTTATTTTCACTGAGCATTCGACAAATCGCTTAATGGAAAAATGCTCTAAACGATGTCATTCTGAATGACCAGCATTTTGTTATGCTAATAGAACAATAGATTTAAAAAAAACATTATGAACTATTAAATTCAATATATAGTAAACTATTAATATTTTCATATACTTCAAAAGATTTAGACAAACGGAGCATATTATTATTATAGTAATTTATCGTAGTGCATTATTAAGTCTTGACGTTGAAATAGAATAAAGAAAACAAACATCTTGTAATGAAAAATGCATTAATTGGTCTTAAATAATTGACCAAAAAAGCTGAAACTGGCCGCTAAATAATTGACATAAAAGCATCTTCTACTATTACATTGTTTCTCTCTGTTTTTCTACACAGATTGGAGAAGGACGACAACTATTTTACACAAGTCTTTCGGCATGAAACTAGAGAGTTCATGAATATATTCAAGGGTTATATATCAATGTACCGAATCCAGTAAACAAGTGGTCGCCCGCTGTGACTAATGCAGAAGTCGTATTCACAGTTAGATGTTAAAGTGGCCATGAATAGTCATAAGGATGTCGACTTTAACCCAGCCAATAGATCGATGGTCAACGCAACGGTATACGTGCTCCCGACTAACATAACCAACTTAAAGTTAAGATACACTATCTAAATGTTTATATTAATATTACCAGGATATTAATTATACTTTAAGATTTAATGGAAGATTGTAATGGAAAATGTATGCACTTTCTATTAAAAATCTATTAAAATTAAAGAAAGAACGTCCTCTATGTCCTGTCCCATACATATTCCACGCAATAACACTTCAAAATATCTTTCTCTTTGTTTTCTTGTTTTCTTTTTCTTTCATACTCGTTATTCAAACTGTACATTATCTGTCTGGATAGACGTTAACCCAGTGAATGCTAAACGAAAAAAATTAATCTAATAAACAATAGACAAACGAAGTCAAACAAAAGACGGGTCGGGTTCGCAACGTATCACCTCCTAAGTTAATTTAAATTTCAAAACCCCTCGTTTTGAATGGCGTCAATGCCACCACTCATTGGCGCGTCGGCCGAAACAATGGCACTCTCGCCGCCATCTTGAAATCCAACCGCTCGTAAAAAGCGCGCCAAAAATGAAAATATTCCCGCGCAAATGATCTTCTCACACCGCTCAAGGGCGTATTTTTAGTAGATTTTGTTAATCAAGTAACATTTATTGCACCGTACATATTTACGACGCAAATATAATTTACGATGATAGACAAATGGGAGGATTCGAACTCTATATGACGTGGTTGGTAATTTTTACCCTCACCACGGTGCTTTTCTAGATACAATTTCAAGTAAAATTATTGAATTCTTCCTTTCTTTAAAACCTTAGTACAAACACATCTTGTTTAAGAGACTTATGAAGGGAGTGAATTCAGATACGACGGCTGATAGATGTTACTCACTGCTTTTTGAATTATTTCCATAAATACAAAAATACAAATCTTTCCTCTTTATACTGACTACTATATTCATAGATGAAGAAATTATAAAAGTACTAGCTTTTGCCCACGACTCCGTTCGCGTGGAAAATAAAACAAAAGTTAGTAGTACTATGTGTTCTTCCAGACTATATTTTACATCTATGCTAAATTCCATACAGATCCGTTCATCCGTTTCGCCTACAGACTCTAACAAACATCCAACCATCCATCTAAGTATGTTTACTTACGAATTTATAGTATTAAGTAAAAGTAAGATGGACATGAGGTGGGTTCATTGCATTATGACGGATATATTAAAAATAAATAATAAAAACAGCGCTTAGTGACAGCAAGTCGTAAAACCGTTAAGTAATAAACAGTCAATATCGATTGGGCGAAAGGGTCAAAATAAAATATTGATTTAAAAACTATTAACACATTTGAGAAAGTTATAAAATTTTAGGGTAACTGTATTTTTTATAAATAATATTATAATGCTTTTAAATTACTAATTTACTATTCCTTTTCGAACACAGGAAATTACAATCCAAATAATTATATTAGCATAATGTTTTAAAAAAAACAGTTTTTTGAAGAAACCATAAATTCAAATTGTTACACTGAAGTGCAGATGCCGAAAGAAATTCCCCATGTTTTCTAAACGCACAAAACCTAGCAAAAACTGCATAAGAAATCGAAAATATAAGATAGGGCAAGTTAAAAGTTCTTTTAAACATTCCTTGCAGCCTTAGCAAAAAACATCGGCAAATGTACCAAAACATAGCAACGGTCTGTGGTATGCCAAATGACAAATGCTAAGACTGATTACTAACCCTGTTCCCTATTTCACAGCTGTTAAGAACTTTACTTCCCTAAATATAAGCTATACTTTCCTTTAACAGTAATAATTTTACACAGCTGATGAAAAAGAATAAATCAAAACTTATTTTGAGCCATGCTGTCCTTTGAAGAGAGTACATTTTGCTTAAATTTTCGATTACTACAATTTAAAACAATATCCGAGTTATTCAGGAAATTTGGTTCGGCGCCGCTTGTCCTCTTCTTTTTTGTGTGAGTTCCGATTACAAAAATATGGCAAGCATATTTCAAGAAAAAATTACCAATTTCTTCTCTTCAGTTGTGTACGGCACCACTGAAGACCAACATAATATGTAGAATTTACCTGAAAAAGAAAAAATCATAATGAAGTATTTAAAAATTTTATAAGAGATGGAAAACAAAAGAATTCTGACAGCGGTGGGATTCGAACCCACGCCCTTTCGGACTGGTGCCTAAAACCAGCGCCTTAAACCACTCGGCCACGCTGCCTTTGATGTAACGAACAAAAATAGTCATACATTCTTCTGGATAAGAATGTCACACTTAAAAATTATATTATACTTTGTCCTACGAAAAGTAGAAACTTATGCAAGCTGGTTTATCAATATCAAAATTATAATTTTATGTATATGTATAATGGTAATGGAAGCCTAAATTTATACGCAACTGGCTCCAGTGACATTCCTGACGGTACTGAAACCTTAGTATACAAGTCCTAGAGCAAGTAAGTCAAGTCATGATATCAGGAAGAGCTCGTATTCGCTCGAACAAATTGTCCGTCCCACTACAGCCGCTAACTCATTACTGCCAACGCATTACACAGGGAACGAGGTCTGAAATAACACCACATTTCCACTACCCCGACGACTCACATGCGACTTGTTTGTACGAGCAATGCCAATCAAGCCAGCCATAAATGTCTATTTCACTAACACGAGTATCAGACGTGGAACTTGTCGCATAGATCCTGTTTACGTGCTACATTTGTAAACTATTCGCGCATTATGTTTCCATTGACAGCCGACTAGTGGAAGAAAGCATTTAGTGGAAAATGAGTCTAAAGTTCGCCTCATTTACACCGTCCGTCGTGTAATGCTCGTCTATCGCACGACCAATCATTACGGATTTATGTTCGATAATAAGTCAGTAAATACGCCCACCTGGGTTATGTACCCGTTAGTTAAGTCAAGGCCCCTCGTTTAATATTAGTTATAATTAAATTGGACACCCTTTGTTAACATTCTAAATTGTTCTCCGATATACACAATAACAATTTCTTGTCATTTATTGGAAAATGGTAAGTGAAAAGCAACAAAGTAAATGAAGAATCCCTTTATTGTGCTAAAAATGTGCTAAAACCAACACTTTTAATGCCATCAAACCGCCTTTGATGGCAGTCAAAGTGCTTGACTGCCAGCTAGTAACTTCATCTTTACACGATAATATAATACAGCATGTAACGTGTATTTTCTCGTTATAAATATTAAATCAATTAGCAACATTGACATTTTCCATTGCAGGGGTATAGATTACACATAATAGCCCTAACCTCTATTACCGAGCTTGTAAATTGCTTTAGCGAAAAACTGATAAAATTAAGTTTTTGTACTTTACTAAGTAGCGGATGTCGTAGATTACAAGTTGGTGTTACTGTAAACGAGCCTAGAATTAATATTGGTGAGTCAGATGGACATGCTACGTAAGTTGATTAACCATGTCCATATTTGGACTAACATCATAGAGTAATCACATTAAATCGTTTATTTAATAGTGGTAGAGCCCGCTTACTCTTTGCACAATAGAGTCTGCTCTTCCGGTGCGATCAACAAGAAGACAGGACTCAAGTTGGAACAATTCCGAGTTTCATCTGATGAGTTTGTTATAGATTGAAGGAAAGTCTTAGATAGGGAGTGTATTTGCTGATCATCATCAAATCATAGACAAGACTCATTCTTTTCACATCAAGGGCTCGGTGCAATTGAATTTAGTCTCTATTATGTTTGTAATAAGGACTGTTTCAGAATAAAAAATGCTACGATACCGAATGAATTTGCAAACGCAATCGCCAAACGGCCAGTACTGACAAAGACCGAAATGTATCGCACTTAATTTGTGGCCCCAACGTCCTATAATAATAAATCTTCCATGTACGCAGATTTACGGCTCTATAAACGTGCAATATCATCAAATTGATTTAAACGCGCATAAGACGAAAGTATTACCAATGAGATATTTAATGAGGTGACCAAAATAACGCCTGCAGACGAGAATTTTATCGTCTTATTTGATTACCGTAAAATCCCCATTTACTTTAAATTCCTTTTATTTATGTGTTAATAAGGTCTGAATATATAAGAAGAGATGTAGATACACGGCACAATGCTGTTACAAAAGTCGCCACAAGAGGCTTTTTTGTCGGGCGTAAAGTACACCAAAACCGTCATACAAATATTATTACCAATACTTTAAGGCAAATATTTGTGATAGAGACTCTGTACTTTAATTTTAAATTTGCCATTTAATACTTTATTTACACGACTTTTTATTAATTTCATTATTACTAAAACTAAAAATAGATATTTTACTTAGGCAACAGGGTATCGCGTGCACAGATCTATTATTTAAGTTAAAAACAGTATTTTATAACTCTCAAACATGCGTGGGGAAATTGACATATGGCGTGTAAAAGTGGCGTGTAAAGCCGGGTAAGTAACAATCGTCAAACAATACTAAAAACTTACTATATTTGACTGAACTATACAAAACCTTTAACAGTCTGGAACGAAGTTTCGCACGGTCGCAAATAGGTCCACATTTTGTAGCATTCACACGTGCTATTGTTCAGAAAGGGGACGTCCAGAAATAAGCAAGGACAAAGAATCCAACTAATACGAGGGGTTCGCAATTTTTATGACCGCTGCCGTAACTCAGACCGCGACGCCATTGAAAATTGCGTAATTACCAATTTCTGGATCCAGTACCTGGCCATTTAGCGTAATTGCTTGTTTTAAGCCGATTTAGATTTTGTTAAAGAGTAAAAATTGATACAGAGTGGACGTTGAGCTTTGTATGTTATAGAAAATACATGTACGAAATCTTGTAAATAAAATTGATACAGAAAAACTAAAGCAAAGAACATTAACACCGGTGTTAAACGCACTGCTAATAGCTCTAATTTACTGAAAGTTATCAAGCAATATTTAATTGTATATCATCGATCAAAACACATGACAAACAAAGAGCTGTCTAGCTTAATCCTCTCCCTATGCGGTCTTCGCATTTTTTACAACACCCCAAACCACCACCAAGCTCCCGACCCCTGACCGCTGTTGCGATACTAATTCGGTCACGTAGTAAAAAGTCGAGTGTTTTGTTGTTAGGCTCCCCGCACAATGGAGGGGATTAATACAAAATAATGGCTCTTGTACACTTTGTTTGTGCAACTGTTTTAACTAGGACTAAGTGTAATTTACTATACAAGGTTTTTTCTGTTGATACGAATTGTGAATAAAATAAACAACGTAAACGGGATTAAGTGGAAACATTTTTAAGGACTGTGGACACATAAAGTAGGGCTAACGAAGTCTAATTACTAACTTTACGGAGCTAGTTGATTCCACTTTTAATAATAAAAACCAACAACCACATACTTTAATCTTAAAATCTCGTTAGTAAACATAAGTTCTTTCTACGTTTTCCAATTACATATTTTTTCTATACTAATATTATAAAGAGGAAAGAAACCTTTCTTTCTAATGTTATGTAATGAGTAACATAGGCTACATTTTTTTAATTTCACGGGGGGAAGTCGCGAGCAACAGCTAGAAATATGTAAGAAAAGTTTAAATGGATGTTTATTAGGGTTTGTACCTCCTGAACGAATGTCGATGGAATTCGGCATAGAAATAGGAGATAGTCTGGGAGAACACATAGGCTACCTACTTTTGCTTTATTTTATTCAACTGAGACGGTGTCGCGGGCGATAGCTACTTGTATGTATATTTGTTCTTACGAGATCTATAGACCAAATTAAAAGATTCCCCCTTCGTATTTATGTCGTTGTCTAGCCAGTTGCTCCGTCTTAGCGAAGGGTTCTCAACAAGGGGTGAGCGTCTCGTCTGACGAAAAAACAATTTCTCCATTTGTAATATTCTTGTGGTAAATCAACTTAATGCATCATCATTAGACAGACGATTATTATGTATTTAGGGAAACAATAATTTGTTCAACTTTTTAGTGACCCTATATCCATCTACACTTCTATACTAATATTGTAAAGTGGATCTTTTTTATTTTTGTATGTACTGAAATAACTGTAAAAGTACTGAACCGATTTCAAAATTTTCTACCACGATTTAAAAGCTACGTTATTGCTGAGTATCAAAGAATTGTTTTACTATTTTTTTTTAATTCCACGCGGACCATATTGCGAATAACAGCCAATTCTTAATAATTTGAAAGCCCAAAACATAACGTCCTTTAAGAAGAGTGTATCACCTTGTCAAAGACCGACATGCGATTATAGTTCCCCTTGTACCGACATCTATTGACGTCGATGATCAATTCGATGGTTCTACTGCTCAAGGCTCATCCGCTTAAAAAAACTAGCTGTTGCTCGCGACTTCGCCCGCGTGAAATTAATAAATAACAAAAAACATTTCTTATATTACTCACTGATAAGGTAGCTTTTTAATGGTGAAACAAATAATTAAAATCGGCCCAGTAGTATTTGCGTGAATTAAATACATACAAAAATACAAATTTTTTCCTCTTTATTATATTAGTATAGATATATAGCTTTCGACTTATACATTTCTAGTATACACTTTTCTCCCAGGCTATATTTTCATGAATATAAAACTGTACCCTGTGAAGTATACTTCAAATTGTGTCTTAAAAGAAATTTGTGTCAAGGATCGACTGAAATTTTAAATAAGCAAACCAGAGCAAGAGGAGAGATTGACTATAGATATAGCTACATCATTCACAAGAGATAAATCTAACCTAAAAATTCCACTGACGAATCATTTATTATCATACTTTTTCGGATGTCATCTATACTATAATGGTATAGTTATTTTCAAATATTTTGGGGCACAAGGTCATCAGACGCTATGCAGTAGTCTTCGCATGCCTTCCTACGATACATTTAAAATAGTCTTCAGGAGCGACCCGCGCGAACATAATTGCCGCCAAAACATCTGAACACATCACAGATAGTCAAAAGCATATTTCTATCTCAGATTTTTCAAATGTATGAAAAGGATAGGAAGATGTGGTATCTCGTAATTAGACAGTAAGCGTTCTTTAGCGATGCATATTTAGAATGTAAAAATTTGTCGT